GCAAGCCAACCAAGGGTGGGATTCAGCCGGTTCAGGTGAACCGGGTGTTAAATTTACATCTGGTTCACCAAACCGGTAGTTGAACGAAAGACTGGCCCCATCTGCCCCGCCGCGCTGAGACTCTGGGAGGGTGAAAAACAGCCTTCCTGGAAGTCCAGAAACAGGCCTGTTTCCGGCTTCTGGAGGGCCTCCGGAGCCCGAGGGAGGCCACTTTCACCCTCCCAGAGGTGAAGGAAGCCTCTGGATTCTGGGGAAGGTGAAATACGGCCGTCCCAGGAGTTCCAGTAGCAAAGAAACCGGATTTTTGAATCCCACCCCTGAAGCCAACGTACCTGCAGGTCAGTGGATTGTGGAAGGCGGGTTGACGATAATTGGGAACTTCAGGATTTCACACAATTGTGTGGTCCCCAGGGTTAAGCCTAGGGCTACCGGGATGAGCAGATGATCTTGGAAGTCATAGAATTATAGGACTGAAAGAGACCTTGGAGGTCATCTAGTCCAGGGGTCGCCAACCTCTTGAATCTCAGGGACCACCAAACTCAGTTTTAAAACCCGCAGGCCAGAGACCCTGGGAAAATCCCAAAAATGTCTGCAGGAAAATCCCCCCCACCCGGTTTTCCTACCGATTGATCATTCTTGATTTGGGATCACAGGATTCCGCCTCCTGCTCCATTCTCCGAGGGAGGGAGAGAAAGAGAGAGAGAGAGACTTTGGGCTTCATGCAAGGAAAGCAGCAGAAGCCGCAAAAGTCTTTTTTTCTCTGCCCCAAACTCCCCCAGAAATGAGTCTTTGTGGGACTTGTTGCACTGGCGCAGCCTCTTGGAGCAGGAGGCCTTGCAGGGTCCCAAAGACTCATTTCTGGCAGAGTTCGGGGGAGAGAAAGGCAGACTTTGGCTGCTTTCCTTGCATGTAACCAAAAGCAGAAGAAGAAAGAAGCGGAAAGAAGCAACCTGGTGGCCCCCTTCCACCCTCTCCACTCTCTCCTCACTCCCTCGTGATGTTCCCAAGGCAAGCGACGCAAGCCTTGTGTTCCCGTGGGCCATGTGGGTGGCACAGCCTTGTGTTCCCGCGCAGCCTGGATTAATTGCTTTGGGGGGGGGGGGACGTTTCTCTGAGGACCACCAAAATTTTCTCAAGGACCATCAGTGGTCCCCGGCCCACCGGTTGGCAAACACTCTTCTAATCCAACCCTCCAGGAACTATCAAGGAAAAGGCCAAAGACAATCCAGGGAGACGTTTTCCATACCTCTGTAATGAAATCGTTTGTGGGGCTGTTACTTCTTACGCAAAGGACGTTCCGCTGCTTCGTGAGCTAGAACCGTCTTTTTCAACCTTGGTGACGTTGAAGCTGGCCTTCGGACTCTCAGAATCCCCTAGGGACCTTGCTGTTAGAATAACAGCCCAGGGTTCAAAACACCTGGCACAACCAATTACCAGCTTTAACCCAGGGGTGGGATTCAACCGGTTCAGACCAGTTTGAGCGAACCGGCCGTTAAATTTGCACCTGGTTCGCCAAACTGGTATTCGAAACGACCCCACCCACCCCAGCTCTCCCCTCCCCGGAGTCTCCAAATAACCCATTTTCGATGCAGGTAAAGTGCAGGGGCCGCAGGGAGGTTCTGGGAGAGGGGGAAACGGGCTTTCCAGAAGGACCGGAAGTCTGGAAATGGGCCTTTTACTGGCTTCCGGAGGGCCTCCAGAGCCTGGGGGAGGCCGTTTTTTCCCCTCTCAGAGGCCTGAGGGAAGTTGCGGACTCAGGAAGGTGAAAAATAGCCTCTCCTGGAAGTCTGGAAACAGGCCTTTTTCCAACTTTTGGAGGGCCTCCAGAGCCCGGGGGAGGCAGTTTTCGCCCTCCCAGAGGCCCGAGGGAAGCCTCCTGACTCTTGCGAAGGTGAAAAACGGCCCTCCCGGAAGTTCCAGTAGGCCACGTCCACCCAGCAACCGAGCAGAGAACCGGTTGCTGGGATTTTTGAATCCCACCCTCGGCTTTAACTGTCAGGACCCTAAAAGCAGAAGAAGGAGAAGAGTCAGCAGGAAGATTCAAAGCCGGGGACAGGTGACATTTGCAGGAAGATGACGCGGTCAGCAGAAAACGGATGCTCCAGGGGAAAACATCTCCTGTTTCCAAATCAACAAACAGATAGGTATGGATCTCCTTGGGTTCTTCGTCCAGCCTTGGTGTCTAGGACCACGGAATGGGTCCACTTGGTCACCACGAGTCCCGTGGTGGGTGTTTATCATCAGCTGGTTCTCCCACCCATGTCAATAGTCCCCCCCGTCTCCTCGTCCTGGGAGATTCATAGAGGGGGTCAATTTCTCCCTGGCCCATTGGCTGCACGGGTCAAATGGCCACCTGTCCCGATGGCCGATCAGCCGCGGGAGAAGCTAAAAGTGGACAGGGGTCACGGTTTACCAAATGAACTTCTCCCCTGCCGACAAGAAGCGATGCAAAATTTGGCTGGTTTGCTGGGAAAATATAGGATAATGGAAATTTAATCAATAAGTAATTTAAAAAATAAACCAATGGGGTCCCTGGTGGTCTTCGAGCTTGGTTGTTTCCTTGGAGACGTTACATTACCTGACTAGGGAACATCATCACTGCTGGAAGGGACTTAGATGAAAGAAATTGCCTTGTAGCACTGATGGTGTGACATAGTTGGGTAATGAAACGTCTCCAAGGAAATCACCAAGCTCAGAGAGCACCAAGGACCCCACAGCACTCCTCCTCCTTTCTCCAAAATCCCTTCCTTTCTAGCACTGATGATGTTACCTAGTTGGGTAATGAAATGTCTGCAAGGGAACCATCAAGCTCAGAGACCACTAAGGAGCCCGTAGCTGCCATCCTCCTCCTCCTCCCTCCATTCTAGCACTGATGATGTTACCTAGTTGAGTCATGAAACATCTGCAGGAAAACCACCCAGCTCAGAGAACACAAGGACTCCACAGCTCAACCCCGAGCTACAATATTCTCTTCTAAAATAAATAAATATTGTGCTTTCTCGGCTCTCAATTGACAAAACGTAGGAGACTGGCACCTATTTCGGTGCACCACAAATGCACAAGTGTGCCTGCAGGTTTTGTGCGTCTTGGTTAGTCTTGCCCAAAGCCATCAAACTCACCTGCTGTTGAGACTCATGTCGGAATTAGCCATATTTGCCTCTAGACATTGTGGGTGCTCCAATACAGGTAGTCTCGACTTACAACCACAATTAAGGCCAACGTTTCTGTTGCTAAGTGAAACGGGTGTCCCATATTTTTTGACCTTTCTTGCCACATCTGTTCAGTGAATCACTGCAGCTGGCTTAAGGTAGGAACACAGGGGTTAAGTGAATCTGGCATCGCAGAAGGTGATCAGGACACTACAACGGTCATCAACATGAGTCAGGACTCCAGGACACTGCAACCATCATAAATACAAGTCAGTTGCCAAACATCTGAATTTTGATCACATGACCATGGGGATGCCGCAACGATCGTAAGTGTGAAAAAACATAGGCCGCTTTTTTCAGTGCCATTGTCATTTCGAACGGCCGGCGGACGAACGTAAGCTGAGGACTACCTTTACTGGAGAGTTCGCCAGGAAGAGCCCCACTGCGCATGCGCCCGCCCCCCCCACCAGCCAGCTGATTGTTGGGTACCTGCTGCGCATGCGTGGGAAGAGATGCACACGAGGGTGATGTGCGCGCATGCGCAGGGGCATGTGGCGTGCAGGGGGGTTGCGTGCGCATGCGCAGAGGCGTGCGGTGCATGCGCAGGGGGCAGGGCAAGTTGCGCACGCATTGCATCATGGGTGCAGGCAGCAAGCGCACGCACGAGCACTTTTGGCACGCAATGTGGAAGAGGTTAGCCATCACTGGTATCGGGCAGCGATGGCTAACCTTTTGGGTGCCGCAACCCCAAAATGTAATTCAAGAGCCCCCTGCGCATGCGTCCTGATCCCCCGTTCATGCGCACACGACCCCACGTGTTATGTATATGTAAATAATGTAGTTGGGTTGACTATATATAAGCTACAAATATATATGTTTGTAGCTTTAAGGAAAAATACTGTAATGTATTATGCTGGGTTCTGGTTGGTTAATTATGCTACAAATTGCCATAAGAGGGAGTTATAGATCATGGTTTAATTCTCTTTCTTTTACTCTTTTGCATTGATGATCTCTCTTTATACTGATACTTACTGACTACGGATCGATACTGACTAACCCTGTTTATTTTGATATTCTGTTGATATCGAAGATTGTTTGTTGTATCACGGTTTGATGTTTGTCTGCTGTAAAAGACATGGAACCGGTAAGAAGACTTTATAACTGGATATTTCTGGACTGTTAAAAACATGTATGACATGGACTGTTTATTGGACTGTGCTATTTCTTCAAGTAAACATTAACACAACTTGTTCAACTCTGTATGGCTGTATATTTCTTCATAACTGTTCTTATAAACCATTTTCCGTGTGCATATCCTTTTTATACAAGGATTATTCTGCACATATCCTAACACCACGCATGCACACACACCCCCACCCATTTTTGGCTTCCAGGCTGGTGCAGGCCTTCGAGGTCTAAAACAAGTTATGAGGGGTGCACACAGTCCCTCTGCGTCCCGTTTGGGCTTCCAGGTTGGTGGAGGCCTTCATGCGCAAATCCCCAAAATGTAATGTAAGCACCCACCACACATGCACCCCACCCTATCGTGCATGCGCGGCAGACACCCGAAAACCAGGTGCCTGACAGGAGGCACGCATGCATGCACGTTGGAGGTGGGCTGGGGCGACGGCTAGGTTTGCCATCGCGGGTATAGGGTCTTTTGCTTGAGCAGGGGTTGGACTAGAAGACCTCCAAGGTCCCTTCCAATTCTGTTACGCCTCAGCCTGGGTCACCACTGCTGGCTACCCCAGATGTCTTCTTCTGGTCTTCAATTTGGACCCTGCCTTTTGCAAGAAATTGAAGAGCCAACAAAGACACAGCCAGGTCAACGGTGAGTTGAGACACTCTTACCTTTGGTATCGTTCACCGGGTCCATGTGCCTGTAGATGTATCCCTCTAAGTAGGAATGGAACTTGGGCGTGGGTGGGAAGAAAGCCAGGCAGATGGACATCAGCTCCCAACCCCGGGCGAGACTCTCATAGCGGAAGTTCTCAGTGGTCTGCCGGCACAACTGGATGTAAAGCTCGTCGCGGAGGCCCTGCATGCTCCATCCTTTGGTGGCAATCTCCAGGGCTACGTTGAGTTGGTCCGTCTTGGACCGCCGGTCGCCCATGTACATCTGGATGAGCTTGAATATCTCGCAGGCTTCCTTCTTGACGTTGCGGTCGCTGGTCATGATCATGGGCTTCTTGATGGACTCGCTGCTCCAGGCCAGCATGTTGGCGATGGAGATCTTGCGTCGGAAGAGACCTTGTGTGTGCTTGTTGAAGTGTTTGGAGGCCCAGTTCTCAATGTCCGTCTCCGAGGAGGGTTTCCTCAGGTTGAAGGTGGGGAAGACGCAGCTGTTGCTGGGCATCATGTTCCGGTTTTGGCGGCTGCTCTCAAACTGGACGCAGGCGCCAAGATCTTCTGACTGGGGAGACAAGGCAAGAGAGGACAACAGTGACCAAACGGCCTTGACTGAGGGAAGACCACCAACCACCCAAGGAATGGTGAAGTCCACCCTCCAGATTTTCTTCCTCACTCCAACCACACCAAAAAATGGAAGAACATGTCCCCAAAGATGCTTTTTAATAAGATAAAAGTCTGTAGAGATTCCCCGTCATCCCCGTCATGGTTGTCCCAAAGGTGCTTTTTCAGGAGGCAACTGGTCTTTCTGGTTTTTTCCTTGAAGACATTTCGCTTCTCATCTAAGAAGCTTCTTCAGCTCTGACCAGATAGTGGAGGAATGGAAGGATTCATACTCCTTGTAGACCGCTGGTCATTTGCATCCTTTTAAAGTCGCTGAGGCCACTTGGAGGTTTATCTGTGTCCTCTTAGGGTCACCTGAGTGATGATCCTGGTTTCATTTTTTCCTTCTGGAAATCCACTCCTACCCCCCAACACCATTCCAAGGGTCTTCATCCCAAACTGTACAGCTAAACTGTAGAGATTTCCAGAGAAAAAAATTGCAGGCAACGGGAACCACTTGCCCCACTCAGGTGATCCTGAGGACACAGACAAACCTCCAAGTGGCCTCAACGACCCTCTAAAAGGATGCAAATGACCAGCCGTTTGAAAGGAAGGTAAATCCTTCCATTCCCCACCATCCAGTCAGAGCTGAGGGAGGTTTTTTGGAGGAGAAGCAAAATGCCTTCAAAAGAAAAACCAGAAAGTCCAGTTGCCTCTTGAAAAAAGCACACTGTGCTAACAAAACAGGTGCTCTTATATATATCTTAAGAGCACCTGTATTGTTAGCACAGTGGCACACATTAAAAATGAAATTCTGTTGCCCACTCTCAAAAGAAAGTATACATATACCCATAAACATATGTAACACACAGGCTATATACATACACATGTGTATGTGTGTACACACACACACACACACACACGGACACACTAATCACTGTCTATTTCGAATACGTAGCGGAAAGAGGAAACTTGAGAGTTCACAAGTTTAATACTCTATAGAACAAAAGCTGTGACTGAATCTAGATCAGATTTCCACAAACTTTCCAGCTTTGTGGACTGGGGGGGGGGGGGGGGGGGGGGGGGGGGGGGGTGGTTCTGCATGAACAACTGGCGAGTGCGCGTCGGCAGCTCCATTTGTGCCAGTGCCCACCGTTCACACAAATGGAGCATGTATACACACGCCCACTGATTGAGCGTTGACAAGGTTGATGTTATACGGAGCAAAACTTCGATCCGAATCTGGGTGTTCTGCTTCGGGTACCACGGAGCTCCCTCCCAGGAGGGTAACAAGGAAAACAGGTCGTGGAGAGGATGTGTGGCATCCTACACAATCCCACGGACCCTGCTCACAAGCATCACTTATGTGCCACGTCCCAGCAAGAAGGGAGTGAACTGCCAATAATATTTTCTGCTGTCCTCACCACTCACTCCCTCGCCTTCCTGTCTGAAGCAGGAATGATTCCGAACCAGACTCTAATGCCATGCAACAGGATGCTCTCAAGTTGACAGAAAGTGGTAAGGACAAGGGAAGGGAGATTTTCAAAAAGTCAACTGGATTTTTCTTGGTTTGGGTTCCTTGAAAAGGTTTCACTTCCCATCCCAGAAGCTTCTTCGGTTCTTCAGAATATACAACTTCAGAACAGGTTGCAAAGGGGTGGTGTGGCGTTCCCAGACAATTCTGCGTACCCTGCTGAAGCACTGCTTATATGCCGTGTCCTGGGTAGAAGGAAATGAACTGCCGATAAACTTTCCCGCTGTCCTCACCACCCTCTCTGCACAGCCTTCCCGTCTGAAGTAGCAATGCTTCCAAACCGGACTGTCATACCGTATGACAGGATGCTCTTGGTTATAGAAAGTGGTAAGGACAAGGGAAGGAAGGTTTTCAAACAGTCAACTTTTCTTGGTTTGGGTTCCTCAAAAAACGTTTCGCTTCTCACCCAAGAAGCTTCTTCAGTTCTTCAGATTATACAACCGTACAACTTCAGAACTGAAGAAGCTTCTTAGGTGAGAAGCAAGAGGCTTCTTGGTGGGGCAACGCAAGGATTCAATCGGAAGAAGACTTTCTCCTTTGCATGTGAAATGATTTAGATGAACCTCAAGTCGGAGATTATTCTACAGGGACAGCAGAGACCTAGTCCATGGAATCACTTTCCTATAGAGGAAGTCCTCAACTTACAACCATTCTTTTATTGACCGTTAACAACTGAACAGCTGTAGCAATTCACTTAAAAATGGTGGCAAGAAAGGTTGCAACCTGGGACAAAACTCACTTAACACGTCTCACTTAACCACAGAAATGTGGTGCTCAATTGGGGTCATAAATCAAGGAACACCTATATGATAATAGGTTAATATACATTCAAAATTTGCTCCTTAAAAGATAAATGAACTTCAAATGTCACTATCTTAATTTATTCAATTCCATGTCATTTACATATGCATATTAAAGCATATCTGGATTTATCAAATTAACAATGCTATCGTTGGCATCAATACTGTACAGATTATTAGCCTCCAATTCAGTATCACTTGGGGCAGGGGTCTCCAAAGTTTGCAACTTTTAAAATTTCTGGACTTCATATCCCAAAATTCCTCAGCCAGCCATGCTGGCTGGAGAATTGTTGAGGTCCATAAGTTTTAAAGTTGCAAATTTTGGAGACCCCTGCCTTAGGGACTAAACTCCCAGGATTCCCATGCAAGACACTCTCTTACCTCTCATATGGTACCTAGGAATTCTGGGAATTGTAGTTCCAACACTCCCGAAAGGCTAGAGAAGAACACTCTTGATTTATCACCTTCCCAAATGGTTAGTGTGCTGTTATATGCAAATATTACAAATATAGTCCCTCTCCTTACTAGGACATTCCCACTGATGGGTGATGATCCAGTGATGGGTGCACTGTCTTCCTGTAGACTAAAATTCCCCCGTCTGCCATGATGCTTCCAAATATTCACTTTATTTATTAAATTTATGCTCCCTATGCAAAGAGACTCTGGGTGCCTTAACAATACCATGAAATCGTGAATATCAAAAGATGAAAATGCTTGTCTTGCAGGTCTTTTGCTAAGCAAAAAAAAACCGATCTCCCGGCTGGATATATTTTTGTTCCTCTTAAATCCCTATCATTTAGTTCTGTTTCACTCATTTGCTTCACTTAACTGTGCATTAAATTTCTTACACAGCCCATCTCCTCTAACTGGGTGGTTTATTCTGCAATATAAAACAACAGAAACGCTTGAACAGAGAAGCACAGATAAAACAAAGAGGTTAAAAATCAGGATTAACACTTGCAGGTTCAAAGTTAAATCAAAAAGTTCAGTAGGCTGATAAACATTTTAACAAGAGGGTGGGAGCTCTCTCAAACTACCAACAAATGCCCAGAGTTGCACCCCACTCTTAAAGACACCTCCGTGCTAACTTTCCACAGAGAAAACTAAGGACTTAAAACTACAGGCTGTGATTGTGGAGTCAGAAAACACAGTTCTTTGCTAGGGGTGTTTTTCATTTGAGATTTGGAAAGTATCGCGACACCCTTCCAATATTTACTAGGGTGCCACACAAAAGGAAGTTTAAACCTGTTCGCCATCGTTCCAAAATGCAGATCCGGGAACAAAATATTGAGATTTAAAAAACGCTGACCTCCATCCCCCACTGCATCAAAACTTGGATGACCAAAGGATACTGAATCCTATCCAAAATACCGTAGGAGAAAATCTCAGGGTTTCTTGCAACCGTGTTTGGCGAATATCTTCCTTCTTTCTCCGCTGGAAAGATCTTCCAAACAGAGAATAAATCAGATCAGGACAAGCTTATAATCAATCTTACGCAGAGGGTAAACATGTGTAACAAGCTTAGAGCTTTGTGGGATTATAAACTGGGGTGGAAACAAGCCAAATTTAACAGAACAGCAGACGTACGTGGCTTTTTATGGTTTAAGAAAAACAGAATAAGAGCTTAACATAGTTGGAAGGGACCTTGGAGGTCTTCTAGTCCAACCCCCTGCTCAAGCAGGAGAACCTAGACCATTTCAGACAAATGGCTGTCCAATCTCTTCTTGAGAACTTCCAGTGTTGGAGCATTCACAACTTCTGGAGGCAAGGAGTTCCACTGGTTACTTGTTCCCACTGTCGGGACATTTCTCCTTCTTTCAAAGTTCTTTTCTCCTTGATGAGTTTCCATCCGTTGTTTCTTGTCCTGCTTTGGAGAATAGGTTGACCCCTTCTTCTTTGTGGCAGCTCCTTCAACACTGGGAGATGGCTATCGTGTCACCCCCGAGTCCTACTTTTCATTAAACTAGCTATACCCATTGCCCTCCAAGGCCCCTTCCAATTTTGTTATTCTCTCGTTCCATTTTTATGCACAAAGAACGGTTGCAGTAGGTCTAGTCCAAGGGTCTTCAAAGTTGATTAGCTTTAAGATTGGTGGACTTCAACTCCCAGAATTCCTGAGCTAACCTGACTGGAGGAGGAATTCTGGGAGTTGAAGTCCACCAGTCTTAAAGCTGATCAAGTTTGAAGATCACTGGCCTAGTCTAATAAAGAGAAAGGCTGCTAGGGTGACGTCATAGCAGCCGTCCAATATTTGAGAAGCTGCCATATAGAAGAGGGGTTCAACCAAGGCTGGCTGGGGAATTCTGGGAGCTGAAGTCCACAAGTCTTAAAGCGGCCATGTTTGGAGATCCCTGGTCTTAAGTGATCAATGATAGGACAGCTGAGATGATGGGTGATGGACAGTTGACAGAGTGGGCCTGACCTAAGACACCTGACAGGTCCTTGTCAGGAGAAGCCCACCCACCCCCATTTAGGGAATGATCCAACTCCCCCCATGCATTGCCTGCAGGGGTGGGCTTCAAAAAATTTAGCAACTGGTTCTCTGCCCGGTTGCTGGGTGAGCATGGCCATGGTGGGTGTGGCCTAGTCGGCCTCCTGCACCATGGCCAGTGGGGGAGGGCTTTTCGCCTTTCTCAGAGCTCAGGAGGCTTTCCTCGAGCCTCCGGGAGAGCGAAAACAGCCTCCCCAGGCTCCGGAGGCCCTCTGGAGTCAAGAAACGGGCCCAATTCCGGCCTTCCTGAACTTCCGGGAGGCCTGTTTGTCACCCTCCCTGGGCTCTGGAGCCTTTCCTTGAGCTTCTGGGAGGGCAAAAATGGCCTCCCCAGGCTCTGGAGGCCATCTGGAGGCCAGAAACAGACCCCCTTCCGGGCTTCCTGAACTACCAGGAAGCCCGTTTTTCACCCTCCCCAGGCTCCAGAGGCTCTCTGGAGGCCAGAAACGGGCCTGCTTCTGGCCTTCCCAAACTTCCAGGAGGCCCTTTTTTGCTGTCCCGGGGCTCCAGAGGCCTTCCTCGAGCCTTCGGGAGAGCAAAAACAGCCTCCCCAGGCTCCGGAGGCCTTCTGGAGGCTGGAAATTGGCCCACTTCCGGCCTTCCCGAACTTCTGAGAGACCCGTTTATCGCCCTCCCTGGACTCTGGAGCCTTTCTTTGAGCCTCTTGGGAGGGTGAAAATGGCCTCTGGAGGCCCTCTGGAGGCCAGAAACAAGCCCGCTTCCGGGCTTCCCTCTTTTTCCTTCCTTGCTCTCTTTCTATCTGTCCTTCTTTTCCTTTCCTCTTTCCCGTCTCTTCTTTCATGCTCAAATACAAAAGGGGAAAACATTTCTGCCTTTGTGTTGTGTTGTTTTCAGTTTGTTTCGCTAGCCCGCTGGCAGCAAAAATGGAGCTCAGGACCACGCGTGGTCGCTCCCTCCCATGTCCTGTTTTTGGCTGTGACGGCCTCCTACGGCTACCACCACCCCGGCTCCATTTTCGCTGAGTGAGGCACCGCGGGCTGGTCCTTCGCTGTTTCCAGGCTAGCCTCATGGGCCCGGGGGCTTTGAGTGTGACACCCCTGTCTTAGAGGCTCCAGTGAAACTTCCTTTAATTGCTTTCAAATTGCTCGCTTGTCTGACAACGGAAAGGATCAGGCGATTTGTTTGTTTGCCAGCGATATGTTAATGAGCTTTCTTCTGACAGTTAATGATTTTTCTGGAGCTTCATTTGCATAAAGAAATGAAGACGACAAACCTGACCAGGGGGAAACCGAGGCACGGCAAACGATTTCATTCTGGCTTTTGTCATCGGTGACCTAAAACTACACCATTTCGATCAGAATGGAGCTGGCAGGGACCTGGGAGGTCTTCTAGTCCAACCCCCTGCTCAAGCAGGAAGCCCTAATCCCATGATGGGGAACCTATGGCATGTGTGCCACAGGTGGCACGCAGAACCATTTGTGTGGGCACGCCAGCCCCAGCAAAATTTAACCTGTAACTGCACATGCGTGTGCCTCCCAGCTGATTTTCGGCCTATTTGAGGCCATTTTGGCCCTCCCGGAGCCTCGAAGGCCGAAAAACGGGCCATTTTGGAAATACCAGAAGTGCCAAAACTTTTCAACCTCCCGAGGCTCCCGAGGCTTCCCTCGAGGCTGAAAACGGCCTCCCCCAGGCTCCAGAGGCCCCCCAGAGGCTGCAAATGGGCACTTCCGATATTTCCGGAAGGCCCGTTTTTCAGCCTCCAAAGGCTGCAGAGGCTTCCCTTGAACTTCCGGGGGGGGGGCGGAAACGGCCTCAAACGGGCCTCAAACTAGCTTGGAGGCACGCGCATGCGCAGTGCAGGTAAGGGGGCAGGGTGTTGCGCACGCATGCGCAGGGGGGAACGGGGCGCAATGCATTGTGGGTGCCGGCACAGGCGCACGTGCTATGGGCACACCACAACAAAAACGTTCGCCATCGCTGCCCTATACCATTTCAATCAGAACAGAGCCGGATGGGGCCTTAGAGATCTTCTAGCCCAGCCTTGGAGATCTAATCTAATCCCTGCTCAAGCTGCAGACCCGAATCCCTGTTGCAAAGCCACGCATAGACATAGGAAATGTTGCATTTTCTTGACCCCTGACAATTTTATCTCCCTTCCAGTTGAGAATAAATCTTTTCTGTTGGACAGTGCCTTGTTTTCTCTTTTATAAATGAACACTGCCGTTTCTGCGGTGGAGCGGCCTAATTTTTATTCTGCAAGCAATTTATCTTGCGAAGTCCTTTTTAATGACGGTTACAAGGGTGCGCGGCTGGGAAGTCTGCCGTGGAATCAATTGTTCCATCGATCCTCACCGCTTAGGCCAGCCTTGGCGTGTTGGGACTCATCAGAAACAGATCAAACAAAACACTGTCAGAATGCTCCGGTCTAAGAAAATCACAAATGAACCGTCCCCAGCAGGTTTGAACATAGCTGAGAAAAAGAAAAGAGAAAAGAAAAAAACAGAAGAAAATATCTATATCCCAGGGGTTGAAATGTAGGGTCTTTGGTGCTCTCTGAACTTGGTGGTTTTTTTGTAGACATTTCATGACCCAACTAGGTAACATCATCAGTGCTGGATGGTGCAAACCTCACTCCCTTCTAGTACTGATGATTTTATCCAGTAATGAAACAACTGGAAGAAAACAAGCAAGTTCAAAGACCCTACAATCCTGCCTCCTCCTTTTCCTCTCCACAAACCCCACTCCCTTCTAGCATTGATGCTGTTTCCTAGTTGGGTAATAAAATGTCTGCAAGAAAACAACCTAGCTCAGAAAGCATCAACGACCCCACATTCATTCTCCTCCTTCCCCTCCTCCCCCCTAACTCTCTTCTAGCACTGATAACGTTACCCAGTTGGGTAATGAAACGTCTGCAAGAAAAGAAACAAGCTCAGAGACCCCACAGTCATTGTCCTCTTCCTCCTCCTCCTTTCTGCAAACCCCACTCTTCTAGTACTGATGACGTTACATAGTTGGGTAATGAAACATCTGCAAGCAATCGACCAAGCTCAGACGGCACCAAGAATCAAACAAGAAAAAAGAAAAAGAAATAAATCTCATTTGCTTTCAAGCATTCTTTCCTTTCCTCTCTCTCTAGAAGACAATTCCTGCCCTATTTTTTGCTTTGCACTTGTTTCCTTTGAACCGCCCTTCGGACCCGTATTTGATATCAAAAGCATCACAACCTTACTGCACAAAAGGATATCTTTGTGCAACTTACATAATCCGTTATCATTTGGGCGACAAGACAAATGTGAAAAAATTACATAAGTTAGGCCTCGTGACGTCACAAGGCTACGGAAGCCCGAAACTGCATAAACCGCCTCCTCATCACACTACACAGTTCTGAGTTTCTGCAGCAATCGCAAACAAGTTACAATGTCAGCCAAACCAGGGAGCCAGAGAATCGCCAAGTGTCGGGCACATCATCATCATCGTCAACTATAACAATTTCTAAATAAAAGAAGAAGGGAGACAGTGCAATTCTGAACCCAAAGAAGTAGCAATAGCCCTTAGACTTATATACCGCTTTACAGGGCTTTCCAGCCCTCTCTAAGCGGTTTACAGAGTCAGCCTCTTGCCCACAACAATCTGGGTCCTCCTTTGACCCACCTCGGAAGGAGGGAAGGTTGACTCAACCTTGAGCCAGTCAGGATCGAACTCCTGGCAGTGAGTTAGCCTGCAATACTGGATTCTAACCACTGCACCACCACGGCTCTTAAGTACCATAGCCCTCCTTCAACTTCCCGCTCATTCCTGGCCCTGCTCGTCTTACCTGGGACGGATGCAAGTATGGCTCGGGCGACGCCAAATTCGTCTGCACGGACACGCTCTTTTCCAGCAGGATTTGCGGAAAGGCCAGCTTCTCAAACGGGTTGCGTTTCCAGTGCTTGTTCTCCTGCTGGGCCAGCGCCTCGTCCTCGCTGAAGGCGCGCACCACCGGTCCCGGCATAGGCAGCGGCACAGCCCCATCGCTCTCGTACCCGGAACCATCCTTCTGGGAGTCCCAGCTGCTGCGCTGCCTCATGTGATAGTGGGCTTGCTGAGCCTCCCAAGCCAGGCGGGCCTGAGCCAGGAAGGGCTCTGCCGAAGCCCTGCAGGACTCCCCTTCCACCGACCGGCTCTCCAGACGCCCACCCGGGGACCGGCTGCACCCAGACAGAGGCCTGTCCTCTAGCATGCCTTCGTCACGCTCGCCGGAGCCGTCGGTGGACGATGTGTTGGGGTCGTATGAAAAAGCGGGCTTCCGGCTCTTTCGTTTGCGGCTGCCCGGGGAGTAACCCGTGGAGGAGAGTGTGTTCTGCTGGCTGGAGCAGGACATGGAATCCTCCCCCTCCGACGGCATGACAGCCGGAGGGCTGTGCCGGAAATCTGCCCCTTCCATGCTGCTGTAGTCACCAGATTTGATCTCCAGGCGTTGGTCCCGCATCAGGCAGGAGCTGTGCTGCAGCGAGTAAGAGCCACCGATGGGGTTGGGCGAGTACTTGTGCCGGGGGGCGCTCTTCATGGTAGGGCTGGACCCCACCTGCTCCACATATACCAGTTGCCGGACATACTCCTTGCCCGCAGGGCTGTACTCCAGGCTCATGAAGCGGTCCGAGCCCTTCTGCTTGGTCAAGACCAGTTGCTGGTACGGGGAGTTGGAGCCCTGTTTGGGGGACTGCAGGAACGAGTGGGGCTTGCGGATGGGCGACTTTTGGGGCGAACCCGCTTTGTAGCTCCCGCCGGCCTCGAACTGCATATCCACCGGGGGCTCGTCATAGATGGGGGCCTGGTACTCCATGGGAGGCTCCTCGTACAAGGGCGGCTCGTAGGCGTAGCGCGGAGAGGAAGGCTGAGACTCGCTGGAGTGCTTGCGGTGCTGGCCCTGCATCGGGGAGCAGAAAGGGTCCCCCCGCGCCAGCAATGGGGAGCAGCTGCCCACATGATCGGCCCGTTTCAGGAAGGGCGAGGGCTTCCGCTCAGGGAAGAAGACCGAGTTGTCGGAATCGGTGGCGAAGGTTTGGAGGTTGGGAGAGGGCTGGCCACCCGAGGGCCTCCGCGACCGGGTGCCCTGCTGATGGTCAAGGGTGTAGCCGTTACCCTGATGCATCAGGAAGCTGGGCTCGCGGTCCGTCACCTTGATTAGCATCCGTTCCTTCGTCCCCGTGTTCCAACGAAGAGAAGATGCCCTGAGCAGAGGAGAAAGAGAAGAATGGGGATCAGGGAGAATAACAAAGAGATGTCTCCTTGTCCACGGGTATCGTGTTTTTTAAATCAGGACTTCTCTTCATCTGTAACACAAAAAGAGACTAGACAGAAGAGCATTCATCGGTAGAACCCCAAATGACCCAGTGTGATGACCCAGAGCGTGACACAAAAATAAAAAAGTCACAGAAGTAGAATAAATTCCCTTTAATGCCTCCAACTTGGGCCTCAGTGTCCAATTATCCTCAGCTGGATATCAAACTCTTCCAAAAACAGTCTACAAATGGAGTAAATGCAGTCCAAACCCAAAGTAAAGATAATTAGAATTTTTTAAAAAAAACCAACACAAACCACACCAAAGTCATTAACACAGCAGGCCAGGATGATAAATTGCAGATTTCCACAAGATCGTGCAGCACCCACAGTTGGGCGGATGCCAAAACCCAGATAAGTCTTAACCAAGATAATGCACGCTTTGCTTCCAGCAAGGAGCTGTGTGCAAATGCCCTTCTTATATCCCGTTCTCCCAGCTGCAACCAATGAAAGGGATCAGGGCCCTTTTCTCTCCCATAAGCCAGGTTGCTCCCTTCTCCGCTCCTCCCTGCGTGCCCTAGGATGAAGAGGGGGTGGCCCTGGGTCTTCCTCTGAATGCCCAGCCGGACTGTGCCCTTCCCCCATTTCTTCCACAGCCACCGGATCCACACTCCCATTCCCTGTCAGCTGCTCAATCTCCCCCTCAGAATCAGACCACAACAGGGGCATCACACCCAGTGTGTCCATGAGGGCTTCCTCCTTTGGGGAACCTTTTGAGAACTTGCCCTGTCATGATCTAGATCGGGCGGTCTCCAAAGTTAGCAGCTTTTAAGATTTGTGAAGAACTTCAACTCCCAGAATTCCTGGCTGTCCACAAGTTTTAAAGCTGCCACGTTTGCAGAACCCCGAAAGCATCTGCCGGACCCATCACACCTGGCAATACTGGTTTGTTAAATTATGGGTTTTATTTATTTAATTTATAGATTAATAGAATTAATTAATAGAAGGGGAACTTACCCGATTTGTAGAGGATACTAAGCTGGCAGGAATAGCTAACACCTTAGAAGATTGGCTCAAGATCCAGATGGATCTTGACAGACTAGAACCCTGGGCCATATCTAACAAAATGAAATTCAACGTAGAGAAAAGTAAAGTCCTACACTTACGCAAGAAAAGCCAAAAGTACACATATAGACGGGTGAAACCAGGCTCAATAGCAGTAACGTTAGAGGGATCTTGGAGCCTTAGTGGACAACCAGCTAAATATGAGTTTAGCAGCCAAAATAGCTAATGCAATCCTAAGTTGCATTAACAGAGGGATACAATCAAGATCAAGTGAGGTACTAATACCACTCTATGAAGCCTTAGTAAGGCCACACCTAGAGTCCTGCATCCAGTTTTGGTCACCACACTATAAAAAAGATGTTGAAACTCTAGAAAAAGTACAGAGAAGAGCAACCAGGATAATTAGGGGACTGGAGGCTAAAACGTACAATGAACGGTTGCAGGAACTGGGCCTGGCTAGTCTAGGGAAGAGAAGGACCAGAGGAGACATGATAGCAGTCTTCCAATACTTGAGGGGCTGCCACAGAGAGGAGGGGGTCTGTGGGGGCGGGGGTTGGACTAGATTACCTACAAGGTCCCTTCCAACTCCGTTAATCTATAATTTATATCCCGCCTTTATTGCTTTTGCAGGTGCAGGTTTCAGGTTTCCGAGTAACACACTCAAAGAAATCAGAACTTTGAGGCAGGAAAGAACATGTTTATTGGATACATCATATTGGCACAGCTTAGTGAAAGCCAGCTCTAAAAATTTCTCGTGATTATAGCATAATTAAAGATGTAAATGTTTCCATCTCCCAGTGTCCCAGGTCACATTGTTTAATTAAAGTAGTGGGCGGGCTCCTTGGTCACTCCTTTCCTCCTTCAGCTGACATCTGTCGGGATGACCTTGGTTCCCACGGGAGAACTCTTTGTTATGTCTGTGAGACGTTCTATTTACTCCTCCACCCCCAGAGTATGTGGCAACTATGAAGCAGGAAATTATGGCTTCAGCCAAGTTGAATTCAGAGTTCTAGGAGACAAGCAAGCTAAGCTGGAAGGGGGAATTAAATATGTCATTAGTTTTGCACGGCTACAACGGTTCCAAAATCGAGCCCCTTGCGAATTCCGCTGAACCTTATCTAGGGCCTTTTCCTCCGCCGTAAGCCACGCAACCCACGTTGCTCTTCTCCGTTTCTCCTAGGATGATGAGGGGGTGGGCCTGGGTCTTCCTCTGAGCTCTCCCTCCCTTGTTCTACCTCTTCCCTGCTCTGCCCAGCTGGACTTTGCCCTTCCCCAGTTTCCTCCACAGCCAACGGAGCCACACTCCCACTTCCTGTCAGCTGTTTGGCTTCCTCCTCCGACTCAGACTCCAACAGGGGCATGACACATATCCTATATACCTTCTTCCTCCTAAAGTGACCATGGATACCTCATACTTTACTGAAGGACTTCTCAAATTTGTGTCAACTGTCCCGTTGGCATATGTGGCAAAAGAAACTCCTGGGACATTACTTCTGCCAAGAGTATAACTTTACTGATCATTGCACCTAAGCACAGAATCAGCCAAGCCAGATCTGATGTTTTCCTGCACAAAGTGACATAGCTAAACTCTTCACTTCTCCGCTGGGCCACCAACCAATTGCAGCCAACTGGTTTTAGGAAACGGTCTGAGCACCTTAGAACACCCCCATCATTTGACCTCGGGCACCAGGATGTTGCTGGGCGAATTGGCTCTCTTGCATTCTACAATTCCCTCTCAAGCTTCCCTTACGTTTCAAATTTGCCCACCTCCTCCATGTTTCTGCTGCCTGGCTTCGAGTTGACTGTGTAGCAAGTCAGCCATGACATTTTAAGAGGTGTGGGCTTTCGTTCCCAGAATTCCCCCAGCCAGCATGCCTTACTGCAATGACTGTCCTTCCCCATCCCACTGATGCTTACAGGGAACTGGTGTCCAACACACCTTTGAAAGCATCCGGTTGGAGAAAGTTGAGTCTAATACAGTTAGTTTTTGATTTACAACCATCGTCGTGGAAGGCTGAGTCGACCCTGAGCTGGTCAGAATCGAACTCCTGACAGTGGGCCGAGTTAGCCTGCAATACAGCATTCCACCTAGTGTAACCACTGCGCCACCACAACGCTTTATAATCGGAAGGGTCTATTTATTGGGATGCATCCTTCTTTGGAAAAAGTGCAAAAAAACCAGCAGCTAAGATGATTAAAGGCTTGGAGACTAAAACATCTGAAGAATGGTTGCAGGATTTGGGTATGGCCGGTCTGGAGAAAAAAAGGACTAGATATGATAGCAGTATTCCAAGATTTGAGGGGGCTGCCAGAAAGAGGAGGGGTTCAACTTATTTTCCAAAGCACCAGGAGGCAGGACAAGAAGCAACGGAGGGAAACTAATTAAGGAGAGAAGCAACCTGGAATTCAGGAGAAACTTCCTAGCAGTGAGGACTATTAACCAGTGGGACAACCTGCCACTAGAAGTTGTAGGTGCTCCATCCCCGGAGCTTTTAAGAAGAGACTCGCCAGCCAGTTGTCTGAAATTGTAGAGGGTCTCCTGCTTGGCAAGGGGGCTGGACTAGAAGACCTCAGAGGCCCCTTCCAGCTCTATTTCAAATTCTGATTCTGATCTGGTGCCTTGTGTGGTTTAGATTCATCTAAGTGAGCCTTGTTTCCAGGAAAATCGATGTTAGAAATGTATTTTCTGACGCTCCCTTTCCCAAGAGGCTGTACCACCAACCTACTACTGCGATCCTTCAAAACAGTAAGCCCGGAGTAACATTTCTAACCAACGGAGCACAGGCTGCGCCTCACCTAGTGAAATAATCGTAACTAACATAATGATCGACGTGAGAATCCATAGCTCCGCCAGGTAGATATTGAAAACTGGGATTTTTTTTCCCTCTGAAATGGAAGGTGAGTGACAGCACTTCCTCCCTTCGGCACGATAACGTCTCCTGTCTTAAAAAGTCTTTTGAAAACCTCCCGAGATCCTTTAGCTTCGCGATGGAGGACGAGGCCTCCGTCATCTCCAAACCCGGCTTCGAAACCGCTCTGAGCTCTCGCCCTATTTATTTTTAACCGTTCTTCCCAAATTTAAGAAGGTACAAAAAAAGAAAAAAGGAAAGAAAAGAAAAGAAAAACCTTCAGCTAAAAGTTGGCTTTTATTGTTCTGCGCTGTTAATGGGTTTCCTAACCACTGAACGCTTTCATAAATGCACCGTCGAGAAAAAGCCAAGCAGGTTTGTTCAATACAGAACAAAGAGCTACATACGAAGTGGAAAGAGAGAGAGAGAGAGAGGGAGGGAGGGAGGGAGAGAGAGGGAGGGAGGGACAGGGGAGGAGAGGGAGAGAGAGAGGGAGAGAGAGAGGGTGAGAGAGAGAGAGAGAAGGGAAAGAGGAAGGTTTTTTGGGGTTTTTTTTTGCAAAAGGTAGACAATGGAACAGTTTTGGTGGAGGCTAAATTAAAAGGCCTTTTTTTCTTTTCTCTTTTTATTCCTGCTACTTCCCGCTCATTGTTCTTCCCTCCTTTCTCTGCGCTTTGCGTTAACATTTCTTACCTCCAAAACAGAGAAAAGCAGCAGCATGGGTGTTCATCTTTGGGACTACAAAGCCTATATTCGTATCCAATGTCATTTTTTTGGAGTGGGGGGGGGGGAATGCTTAAGAAAGACGTGTTCGTATTAAACATGGATGGTGCATGGCTTAATAGGGTAAGGGCAAATATGATGCCGATATGATGTATCCAAGTCAAAGAATAGAATAGGAATAGGAATAGGAATAGGAATAGGAATAGAATAGAATAGAATAGAATAGAATAGAATATGGAATGGAATGGAATGGAATGGAATGGAATGGAATGGAATAGAATAGAATAGAATAGAATAGAATAGAATAGAATAGA